CAGCTTCGGCACCATCGTCCCGTAGGTTACGGGGACAGCTGTTGCGGCTCTGTTGTGGTGTCGTCTTCGTGTCGGCACTCACAACGGCGCGTTCCGTTTGTGTTGAGGGGGTGTCACGACCTGGTGAGGACGCTCTGCGCTCTTCTCCATCCGAGCGGCGCCATTGAGCGGTGGCGCAGGTGGCCTCDGCCATGCACGCGCTGCTTACCGTATGCGAGGGCGGAGACTTGTGGGATGAGTGATGCACCCTCCGACGGCGTCGCGAGGCTGGGCCCGTCATCCGGCCGACTTTTTGGAATGCGCGCTTGTGCCCGTCGTGTCGCCCATCCTGTGGTCTCGGTATGCTGCACACCGTGACGGATCGCGTTGCGTCGTGGTTCCGCTGCGTTTGGGTTGTGGGCTTCGAAGGCTTACTGTCCTCTGTCTCGTGGGTTTCGCCTGCGTCGAGTGCTGTTGGTGGTGCCCGCGGAAACCGGCAGGTGTGGGCGCAGGGGGGAGAGGGGTTGTGTTCCTTTTGCGCCCCCGTGCACAGGTGGAGGCTTTCCGTCCGTCCGGGCGTGTTGGAAGCGTGGTGCATTCGTTTCTCTCTTCACCCGCGTTTCTCGATGGAGAGATGAGGCTGTGCACTTCGCTGTCGGTGCGTTTTGGGCAGGCGGTGCCATCCGGCTGTGGGCCGAAGCTGTCGGTGGTTCCTTCGCGCGCGCCGTTGTTCGGGTAGTGTGGTTAACTTGCGATCTCTGGGTGTGGTGTGGGCGGGTGCTGTTCGCAGCCAATCTCTTGGGCGGGTGAGGCGGGCTGTGTTGGATGGTGTGATACCTTGCCGTTGGAGATGGCCTACGGAGGGAAGTTCACCTGCAATTCAAACAGCCGGACTTCGCGGCGTCTCGGCAGCTGATTGCACGTTCCACGATTGTTCGACGTTCTTTTGGTAGGCTGTCCGGCGTGACGTGCGTACGTGCGCCTCGGCCATCGCTCCTTGCGGCTGCTCATCACACCTGCTACATGGTTGATCCTGCCTGTAGTCATCTGCTTGTCTCAAAGACTAAGCCATGCACGTCTRAGTGTGAACACTTTGCACTGTGAACTGGATAAAAGTTGAGTGTGTGTCGAACGAGGTAGGATGTATCTGCTGGACTGTGAAGCTGGGCATGATGTATATAAGTTGGACCGAGGTTCCCATAGGCGATAGGCAAGCGACGAGTGAGCTGGTTGCATACATGGTAGGTATGGGAAGGGATACTTGGATGATGGCATATGTGAACAGTTTGGTGCGAGGGCTAGTGGCTGCCCTTGTGTGGCTAGCCCAGCAGGGGTGGGTTTCTGCAACACCTTTTAGTGGGGTCTGGGTACCGCCTGGATGTTTCCCGCCCACCCAAAAGTGCTGCAGTTCCCCCGCTCAGTACTGGGCACGCCCCACAGCGGCGGCCCCCTGCCGGTGGGTGTCTCGGGCCGGGCAGGCCGGTTGCTTGACGGTTATAAGAAACTGGACTGGTGCCCCCCAGAATAGATTGGGGTTGTGTGTGTGTGTGGAAAAAAAAAAAAAAAAAAAAAAAAACTGCGAATGGCTCATTAAATCAGTTATCATTTATTTGGTGGTCTCCTTACCACTCGGATA